TCTTCTATCTTGGTTACCCAAGAAATCGTAGGTTGCCCCTGCGGGCCTGGATCGAATTCAGGTATTAATGTTTCATCAATAACAGACGAAGATGCAAGGTGCAAAGGTGGAGTATAAGAACGGGTAGTACTTACAGTTTGGCGTTCTCTATTTACCCTCTTTGTTTTACTTTTCTTTCTCCGCACCCTTAGATCTTCGTCTGTCGACTTTGAAGTACTACTGGAAGATGAGGGAGAGCGACGTCTGCTCTTTTTGCTTTTCTTTCCCATTGTATGCTGCCTCAGTTTCTTAACACCCTTTCTTTTGACACTGTTTATTTAACACCTGTTTCTTTTTAATTAACATCACCGTGTGTTCATCCCACTTCTGAATTGTAAGATAAAAGGGGTAAACCACCCTAAGTTAAATAATAAAACCCCGAATTTAACACAAGAATATATTAATAAAAATATACTGCACTATACAATGGTTCGCTATTGAATACCATTCATATCTTACTTCTTTATTGTTTATAAAATAATGTTTATGCTATAAGCACGCACTCGGCGCCCGCTAAGTTAATCTGGGGACCGGCGTATTGGGAATCCTTGACCCTGAGTCTAACAGTATTTATCTGGACTACAGACAACTTGAGAAATATTTCAAATTATAATTATTTTAATACTTTGAAAACTATTTAAATTTAGGATTTATAACTTTTAAAAGACTCCAAGAATCGCGAGTATTGAAATAACGCAGACTTCTGTCATGAGAGAATTGGTCGACCAATCAGTTTCTCTCAAAAGTGAGACAGACAAACAAACTATAATAAAGGGCAAGGAAAATAAACAAACTATAATAAAGGGCAAGGAAAATCTTACTAACGAACTAAAAAATACTTATTTAAAAAAAATAATAATAAGTTCGTGATTCGAACCCTGGCCCACCGCGTGCTAGGCGAGTATCTTCTCTATCGTCTAATGAGTTCCTTGCTGACAAACGATTCCAAAAGGATTTAATACACTGTTCCGTTGTCTGTCTCACTTTTGAGAGTACAGCGTAACGCGCATGCGGGAAGCTTTGGAGCCAAGTAGAATTGGTCTGCCTAGACGCTTGTGTTACAAGTGTGAAGTCGTACTGGTAAGCAGCTCCAGTGTCCTCCGTATCCAGGTAGTGGTAAGAACCGTTCTGAGTTTTTTACTGTTTTATTTGCATTTATCGTTGATACTTTTTTTTACCGTTTTATTTGCATTTATCGTTTGTGCTATTTTGCTGTGTTCTTTGCATTTACCGTATATCATTTTACTGTTTTTGTTTGCATTTATCGTCTGCATCCGATTGCCTGCTAATCAGATTCGCTGGAGATATTCGGGAACATTCGGGAATCATTAAGTAAAACCACAGGTTATCTATTCAGCAACGAGCATCCGGAGTACTCGGCTATTAAAATTTGTAATAAAGGATGTCCGAGTGAATGCCCCGATCTCTAGTGTTTGGAGAGAGACTTCACAAGGATAACGCGAAGAGACCCGAAAGTTAATTTGTAATCGAGTACGACCGAGTGAATGCCCCGATCACTAGTGTTTGGAGAGGGCCTTCATCAGGTTAACACGAAGAGACACGAGAGTTAATTTGTAATCGAGTACGACCGAGTGAATGCCCCAATCCCTAGTGTTTGGAGAGGACTTCATCAGGTTAACGTGAAGAGACACGAGAGTTAATTTGTAATCGAGTACAACCGAGTGAATGCCCTGATCCCTAGTGTTTGGAGAGGGACTTCACCAGGTTAACGTGACGAAACACGAAAGATAATTTGTGATAAAGTACGCTCGCCGTTGATCTCAATTCACGCATATCTCTGGCTTAATAAATTCAAGCGACAGTTTGCATTTCAATCCGAGTTAATAAAACTATACCAAACGTGCTAAATAGGTAGATACCTCTCGGGAATACTCAGCTATTATTCTTTGATGGTTATGTATGGTAAAGGTCCCGATCCCTAGTGTTTGGAGAGGGTCTTCACCAGGAAAACATAAAGGCACACGTGAGTTCCCAGCAACTTGTGTTTTAGTGGAATCTGACAAAGTGTACCGGGTTTGAGTTAACGTGCGATCCAATTGATCCTAAGAAAGGACAAAGGAGGTAAATCTAACGATATGGCACGTCCGCGACTAGTACATATCATCAACCACCTGTCCCTAGGTTGACATCCCACCCTAGTGTCACGCTAGTAAACCGTAACCACTTATACCTGGATCTTACTGCACCGACCGCTTGCCATAATACCGTTAGTTGCTTGAAGTAGATAACAGTAGTAATAGATACCGTAACTTAGCTAGTTTTGATTCGCCGCTTATTTGCTTGTGTACCTGCTTGTAGTAAACTTTTAACATTCCCTGCTGAGAATAACACCATAGATAGTTTCAGTAACTTAACTGTGCTTGATATACCTGATCACCGCTTTTCATAACCTCTTGCTTGGTTTCTTTAGTTGCTTATCTATATCATAGATTACTATTTACATTGTACAAATATATATACACGGTGGGGCAATAGTGCGTCGGACCTCGATATCTCGAGTTCTACGATAGCTAAAAATTTTTTGTTGAAATAATGCCATCTGCAGATGGATATTAAAAAAAATCACCACAGTCACAATTATGGGTTTTAAGAAAAACTTATGTGAATACCAGTTACGAAACATCTAATTAATGTTTTTGAATCATTTTCATTTCCTAAAAATGTACAGAGTGGCCAAAAATTAGTATTCAATTAAGAACTTTTTAAATTGAATTTTCTCAATTTTTTTCAAATTTTTTTGTTTTTCAACGATGTGATGTAAAAATGAAAAACGAACATTTTTTGTAAGTACTTCCGTATGGCTAATTGCAACCATTTTCGTTTTATTGAGCAATAATTACAACATTCAAAAATAAACTTAAAAAAGAGGTTTCCTCAAATAACTCAGTAGAAAAAATTATAATAAATGTTCCACATGTTGGCCATTTTGATTGACACACATCTCTATGCGCTTTTGAAATGAGGTTCCCACTGTTCCTAAAACTGTCGGTGTGATAGATCTAAAGGCAGTTATTATTCTTTCCTTCATATTTTGAACTGTTGTTGGTGTGTCTCTATAAACAATTTCCTTCACGTATCCCCATAAGAAGAAATCCATTTTTGTAAGATCTGGGGATCTAGCAGGCCATTTAGTGGGTCCATTTCTTCCAATCCATTGATGAGGGTAGGTATTATTTAAGTGGTCTCTAACTGCATTTAAATAATGTGGTGGCGCACCATCTTGCTGAAACCACATCCTATTTCGAATTCTTCCAGGGAGATTTACCAATAATTGTGGCAGACAGTTTTTGAAAAAATGAAGATAAATAGCTCCAGTCAATGTACCATCAAAGAAATGTGGCCCTATTACATGTTCTCCAATAATTCCTTCCCAAACGTTTATAGACCATCTGTGTTGGTTATCAACTTGCATAAAAAAGTGAGGATTTTCCGAAGCATAATAATGGAAATTGTGCCTATTAACAAATCCATTTTTATGAAAAGTTGCCTCATCAGTGAATAAAACATTATTGAAGAAGTTGACATCAACTTGCATTTTACCTCTGGCCCAATTACAAAATTGTAGGCGCTTTTGAAAATCGTCATCAGATAATTCCTGGTGCATTTGAATATGATATGCATGCCACTTATGTGTTTTTAAGATTCGAGCCACAGACCGTCTACTTATTCCTACTAATGAGGTCACTTCTCTTTGACTAACATGAGGATTCTCAACCGTTGCCAGCACCACAGAAAACTCATTTTCTTCGTTCACAACACGTTTTATTCTTTCACTTTTTTTATATTCGACATTTCCAGTTTCCAGAAATCTATCGAGAAGGTTTTGGAAGCTGCTAACATCAGGAAGCCTTCTTCCAGGATAACGTTGATGATAAATTCTATTGGCAAGTAAATATATATATATATATATATATATATATATATATATATATATATATATATATATATATATATATATATATATATATATATATATAGAGTAAGTAAAGTTGATATTCTGATTTTTATTTTATTGCAAAGGTACAAGCAATAAATCTGGTTGTACACCGAAACACAATTTCGGCAGGTAAATGTGAAGTTGTCCATTTCTACGAAACTGACAATTATACACACTGATCTCTTGACATTCCGCTTCTTCACTGAGATATTCTAGCTTCTATCATAACGCTGATAGAATAAAGTTGTGTTCCTACACTTTAAAACAGGAACTGGCGCTCGAGACCGTACCGAAATAAAAAGTTTCAAGTACCGCTGTGGTACTGAAAGGTGCCAAAGTGACAACACGTTACAACACAACAACAAAAATAAGTAATTTTGTTGGGTAGGTGAAGTATACGCCACAGCTTTCCCTGCCCGTTTGAATGATCAAAATTATTTGTACTTTTAGCAAAATGCAAATGCTGCACGACATACCTGCTGAAACAATTGCTGTTAGACAGAATTTGACTAAAATTTATTCCCGGAGGTGGATAGGTGGAAGGGAGCCAACAGCGTGGCCTCCTCGATCACCAGAGTTGACCTTTGATTTACTTCGTTTGGCGTTACCTAAAATCAGTTGTAGCTAATATTGCCGAATTGGAGCAACGTATAATAAATGGATGCGAAACAATTAGAAACATACCGGGAAGAAGGTCAATGAGAACTCGTATTAATCGTTCATATTTTTGTATGTAGAAAACCAGAAGTTTATAGTCAATATTTAAGGACACCCTATATGTGATGGTCTCGTCCGTGTTAACAGATTTACAGGGGTGAAAAATATGTTGAGCTTTCAGACATCATTCTGTTTTATTAAATAAAACAGCATATTTGTAATTCAACGCATGCTGTGGGCAGATAATTTGCTGAATAGTTGTTTGTCGTATAATATTCTGTTTGATTGGAGCCTGCTTTATATATTTTCCATTGCCTTGTCATATATTCAAGACAAGAAGGGGTCTGGGTAGTTGAGTAGGTAAAGCGCTTAAAGCTATTCACTTGGTACCGAAGGTCGATGGTTTGATTCCATCCAGGAGCAAATTAGAAGTTTAATTTGTAATTTGTTTCGGAACAAGATGGAGGAAATTTTCGGTGCTCTAGTGTGGTTCGGACTTCACAATAAACTATAGGGCCTTCTCTCTTTACCTCACACAAAATCCTAAAATTTTCAGAGGATTATTTTGGTGAGTTGAGAGGTGGTTAAGAAAATTTTTTTTTTAAAAATATATCTGTTTTAAAATGAATATTTCGTTGCACTATTAATACTGACTCTGTTGGTTCAGAAGTTAGTACTTGAAATAAATTAATAAATAGTCAGTGAAATATTTATTGTATGTATAAAATAAAATAAGAAAGCTTATTCACAAACAATATTCTAAAATAATAATAATATACTCTTTATTAAATTTACTGGTTTGCGAGATACAACATACATAATAACAAATATTCTAGATTATTTTTTATTATTTCTGCATGTTCTTAATTAGTAATATTTTTCATACCACTTTCACCAGTTCCTTCGTCTTTTTCTATTATTTCTTGAGCTGTGTATGGAAAATTAAGGATAGTGCCAACACTTGTTTCTTTAAATTCTGTGTCTTCGGAAGATGACGAATTTCCTAAATTTTCTGTGCGATATATTTCTGCATGTTCCCTTATAGGAAATGTGTCCCCTTCATTTGATGTAGTCAAAATTTCTAAATCCTCTTCGGCGACAGCTTTAAAAATTTTGTTTTCCGTTAAATTTCTTTCCAAATCTTTATTAAAATGGCATATGGTATCTTCGTCAAATTCAGTACTTTGTTTTTTAAGGGCACATTTAATTTTGGGTTTGAATTTAGCAGATTCATGTTCTTTTAATTTGTCATTTGATTTTTCTAAGTTGGTTTTCTCGTTTTTGGATTTTGTTTCTCGCAATATGTTTTCGTCACTTTCAGTTTTACTAATTGTTATTACTGGAATATTATCAGACCAAACAGATGAGCCAGAATCTTGTCTCATATCTCTAGACGTTGATGGCATAACTTGTTCTACACATCTTTTTTTGTTTTGTTGATTTTTTTTAAGTTCAAAAGTATCACAGCGATGCAAGGTAGAATGTTTTACAGCGGCCTCTTGGATTTGAACATGTTTCATATCAGAAGAATCCATACTTCCGCTTGGCAAACGATCTATCTTGCCGTGATTTTTCTTTAAAATTTTATTCACAGAACTTGGGAAATCAGAGTTTCCCCATGAAAGTGATGGTCTGACAGATTTATGTACATAATGTTTGGATACCATGCTATCATCAGGTAATGATTCATGTTGTTCGGTGTCAGTACCATCCTCAGCATTTTGTTCTTCATCTGAAGTAGATGATTTACCCAAGGCTTTTTTTGATTAATTTTGTGAAAAAGTCTACCAATAAAAATATAAACATAGTTAACATATTTTAAACAATATAAAACTAATTACCTTTATTTTTATTTTCCATATTTTTCTCCTTAACTGGCTGGTTATTGTCATCTGACTCTTGTTTCGGTGTCTCATCAAAACTTTTTCCACTAGGTAAAGTGCCTATAAGTTTCTTCCACCTTGTAAATGGCGTATTAGATAATTCATTAGATTCTCCAGAACCACCTCTTCTTCTGTCGGCGATCTGAAACATTTTCCTCCTTTCTTCAGTTCTTTCTCTTCGTAACTGAATCTGAAAAAAAAATGACAATAATAATATACTGCAACCAAAGTAAAAAATATGAATTTATATTAAATTCGTGCTTACTTCTCAATCTCCGCTGATATAGAGACTGGTGTTCGAAAAAAATGTATTGGGATTGGTAAACATCATTTTATAAAATTTTCGTGTTTTGTTTTTGAAAGGATTAATGATTGTTATAGACGAGTGATTTTTTTATAAATGATTTAATGATTTTTTTTGTCAGATATCTTACAAAATGACTAGTGATTTATTACTTAACTAATTCCAAAAAGCCCTATTTATTCTAGTATCATCAGAGGTTGATGTATTTATGGACGATTATGGAGAATAAGCATGATCCTGATTTCGTTTACACTCAGTATATAGTATTGTTCCGTCAATATGTTGTTAATTAATTTCCATATTTTGCTTAATATGTTTCATGTTAACCACACATAATACGAATAATCGTATATATGTATTTATAGTGTGGCCACTATAAGGATATATGTGTAAAAAAAACTTGTGTTTTGGACTCGTAGCGTAAAGCGGAATACGTGTTACATTGCAGTATTTGAAAACGATCACCTCATATAGTCTGGTTCACATGTACTTTTTTTTCTTAAATTTTTCAGTAGTCTCCGAAAATTACGACCATGGTGTCATTCGATTCGTATTGTCACCTAGAAAGTTTAAGGAAAGGTCCGAAAAGGGGCTGAAAAAAATTACAAAAGTTATAAACAATAAAGTGAAAAAAAAGTGGGGGTTTGGTTTTTTTTTGAATATCTCGGAAAATATTGAAAATTTTCGAAATTGCAAAAAAAGTTCTAAAAAGATCAACAAATTTACTAAAAAAAAGTTCCGACTCCCGGAACTGTAGCTCTAATATTTATAATTTTTACAGAGCCCTGAAAATAGAGCCAAAAGCGGGCAGTCTGGCTTCCGCGCACGTTGCGTCACTCTGACACAACAACAAAAAAAATTATTTAAATATATTAAATGTGAATATTAAGGAATAAAAAAATTCATGGAGTGTTGGGATACATAAATAAATTTTTTTTCTTCAAAAATCTTGATTGTTTCGAAGTCTCATGGTTAAAAGCTACTTAAAAATATATATATTTTTTTTACTACTATTGTTTAAAAAATTGTTATTAACAAATACATTGTTTATGAGGATCTCGAAAATTTTTTTTTTTGGATTACAATTATTGATGAAAATTATGATTTTTAGAGAAAAAATCGTTCCTTAAAAAAATTTCTTTGTTGCTAAAAAATACATTTGTTAATTAACAATCGTTTTTTGCAACTAATTATTAAAATTAAGGAACCGTTTTTTCTCTAAAAATCATAAATTCTACCGTTCTTTAAGATTTTCAAAAAATAAATTTTTTTTATTCATTTTTTTATTTGTTTATTTAAAAAAAATTTGTTATAAACAAATTAATTTTTTCAATTTTTTTTTAATACTCTATTCTATAATAAAAGCAGCCATGCATTGTTTTTCTTGAAAAAATTTTTTTTCTATTTTTAATAAATGTTTTAATATTGTTATACCTTAAAACTTGTCTTTCTCACCCGCTCTTTTTGCTTTTAAAATTATAATAACTTTTAAACTATTACAAATATGACAATAATGCTTCAAGTCTTTTTTGTTCATTATTAATTAACTAACAAATTTAACTTTTTACTAAAGTTCTAGCTCCATTATTTATTTATTTATTGACTATTATTTATAAAGTGCAAAAAGTGCAAGTAATGAAATCCCTATAGTTTAATGATGCATAATAATAGTTATCCATATTAAAAAGACTTAAAAAAAATTTTTTTTTATAAATAATAGTCAATAAATAAATAAATAATGGAGCTAGAACTTTAGTAAAAAGTTAAATTTGTTAGTTAATTAATAATGAACAAAAAAGACTTGAAGCATTATTGTCATATCTGTAATAGTTTAAAAGTTATTATAATTTTAAAAGCAAAAAGAGCGGGTGAGAAAGACAAGTTTTAAGGTATAACAATATTAAAACATTTATTAAAAATAGAAAAAAAAATTTTTTTTTCAAGAAAAACAATGCATGGCTGCTTTTATTATAGAATAGAAAGTATTAAAAAAAAAAATTGAAAAAATTAATTTGTTTATAACAAATTTTTTTTTAAATAAACAAATAGAAAATGAATAAAAAAAATTTATTTTTTGAAAATCTTAAAGAACGGTAGAATTTATGATTTTTAGAGAAAAAACGGTTCCTTAATTTTAATAATTAGTTGCAAAAAACGATTGTTAATTAACAAATGTATTTTTTAGCAACAAAGAAATTTTTTTTAAGGAACGATTTTTTTCTCTAAAAATCATAATTTTCATCAATAATTGTAATCCAAAAAAAAAAATTTTCGAGATCCTCATAAACAATGTATTTGTTAATAACAATTTTTTAAACAATAGTAGTAAAAAAAAAATACATATATATTTTTAAGTAGCTTTTAACCATGAGACTTCGAAACAATCAAGATTTTTGAAGAAAAAAAATTTCTTATTCACTATTTTTTATTTTATAATTTTCAATTGTTAATAAAAAAGTGGAAAATCAAAATTTTTTTATTATTGCAACGGTAATCGATTTGTTAAACTATCAAGAATAACTTTACTAAGTGAAAAAAATTCTAGGATATTAGTTTTATAATTATCTGGGTTTTTATATTAACTTTCAGTTTAGAAAAAATAGTTAATTAACTAATGCATAATTTATGTTAAAATTGAGATAAAAATTTTTTGACCGCTGATTATTGTTTATTTATGTATCCCAACACTCCATGAATTTTTTTATTCCTTAATATTCACATTTAATATATTTAAATATTTTTTTTTGTTGTTGTGTCAGAGTGACGCAACGTGCGCGGAAGCCAGACTGCCCGCTTTTGGCTCTATTTTCAGGGCTCTGTAAAAATTATAAATATTAGAGCTACAGTTCCGGGAGTCGGAACTTTTTTTTAGTAAATTTGTTGATCTTTTTAGAACTTTTTTGCAATTTCGAAAATTTTCAATATTTTCCGAGATATTCAAAAAAAAACCAAACCCCCACTTTTTTTTCACTTTATTGTTTATAACTTTTGTAATTATTTTCAGCCCCTTTTCGGACCTTTCCTTAAACTTTCTAGGTGACAATACGAATCGAATGACACCATGGTCGTAATTTTCGGAGACTATTGAAAAATTTAAGAAAAAAAAGTACATGTGAACCAGACATGATAAGATTCTGCGTTTTGTTCCGACTATTATAGTAGTCGTACAGTAAGAGATATATTATTAGTTTCTAATCAAAAAGTTATATTTTAGAGTGCGAGTTTAATTATTAACT